GCAGGCTCTGATGTTAGGAAATGTCTTGATGTGTGGACAGGAGCTGCACCACTCGCTGTAAAGTGAAATGAGTCTTGAAGGAGCATGGTGGGCCCCAGGGAACTCTGATCCCTGCAGAACCTCATCTGACGTGGATGGGCCAACCCAGCTGCCCTGGGGTCACAGATCACTGCACTTCCAACTGCCAGGTCAAACATCACCTCATCACCTTCCTACTGAATGCTTATCACTGCTTGCTGTGAATGACAGGGGAATCAGGTTGGGAGTAGCAGCAAATTGGCATTTATTTACTTTCTGAATTATTGAAAGGAAATATAATCAATTGTCACATGAGCATTTATTGCTAATTCTACGCAATTAAGTAGTTTTATTAAATGTACCACTTACCATGCCTACAAAGACATTTCCTTCAGAGGAAAAGGAGAGTGCTTCAAACTGTGCCATAGATGAGCCCTCATTTAAGCAAGGCTTCTACAGTTTCCTTTCTGTAAACCATGACAAATTCACAATTGACTTTATTTTCAAACCTTTCATGACCGTTCACTTGTGCACTGTGAGTCCCACTTTAAAAAGCTTTTAAAGAGATTGTTTTATCTGCAATGACTTTGTGCCTGTAATCAGGCACAATTAAAAGTATTTTTAATTGTTCTTTTAACCATTACTGCCCTCAAAGTGGGTTTGCCTGAGAAGAATAGAAGCTCAGACATGCAGATGTGAGCAGGCTGCTTCCCCTGGAGAAATCAGAGCACACATAGAGTTCAGATCTGGGATTGGAGGAGTCCCAGCTGACTGGAAGCTGGCAAATGTTGTCCCGATTTTCAAGGGTGAGGAGGATCCCAGACACTACAGGCCTGTCAGTCTCACTCTGATACCCGATAAAATCATGGAAAAGTTTGTTCTGGGAAGTATTGAAAAACACCTGGAGGACAATGCAGGCATGAGTCACAGTCAGCATGGCTTCACGAGGGGAAAGTCCTGCTTGTGAAATCTGATTTCCTTCTGTGACAGGGGAACCCACTTGGTAGATCCAGGAAAGCCAGTAGATGGAATCTTCCTGGATTTCAGGAAAGCTTTTGATACCGTGTCTCCCAGAATGCTTCTAGACAAAACGTCCAGCACACAGCTGGATAAACACATTGTGGAATGGGTCGGGCGCTGAGGGTGGCAGTGACTGGGGTGGCACCGTGCTGGCAGCGGTCACCAGAGGGTTCTGCAGGGCTCCACTGGCAGCCCCGGTCTCCAACGCCCTTGTTAACAAGGTGAACACAGCACTTGAAGGGATAACCAGCACATTTACCGATGGCACCAGACTGGGAGGAGCTGTCACTGCCTGCAGAGAGGCTCTGCAGAGAGACCTCCCAAACAGAGATGGGCGATGTCCAGCGGTGCGGAGTTTAACAAGGGAAGGGTCAGGTTCTGCCCCTGGGATGGGCACCCTGGGCTTGGATGTGCACAGGGGAAGGAGGGGCTGCAGGGCAGCTGCAGGGAGGGGCCCGGGGGTCCTGGCCAAGGGCAGGCTGAACACGAGTCAGCAGTGGCCTGGCAGTCCAAAGTGCCACCGTGTCCTGGGGCAGCAGACCCAGCAGCTGGCCTCTGGGGATTGTCACGCTCTGACACTGGGGTGGCCTCACCTTGAGCGACACCACAATGTGAAAAAGACATAAAGCCATTGCAGAGTGTCCCGAGGAGGTCACAAGGATGGGGAAGGGTCTCAAAGGGCTCTGGGCGGAACTGCTGAGTACACTTGGTTTGTTCAGCTGGAGAAGGGGAGACTCAGGTCAGACCTCACTGAGCTCTTCAACATCTTCCCGAGGGGCAGTGCAGGGGCCAGCACCAATCTCTTCACTCGTGAGCAGGGACAGGACTCAAGGAAATGGCTGGAGCTGAGTCAGGGGAGAATAGGTTGGATATCAGGAGAAAGTTTTTCACCTAGAGGGGGGTTGAGCACTGGAACAGGGTCCCCAGGGAAGTGGTACCAGCCCCAAGTCTGTCTTGGGACAGGAAGCATTTGGACAATGCTCTCAGCCCATGGTGGAATTGTTGTGGTGTTCTGTGCAGGGCAGGAGTTGGACTCAATGACCCTGATGAGTCCCTTTCAACTCAGCACATTCTGTGCTGCTCTGAAATTACTTCAGCATCCAGCACTCAGGTTTCACTCCAGAATAAAGCTGTTCCAGCCTGGTGAACACAGACGTTCCACCCCTCCTAGGTACAGCACCTACAATATTCCTTAATTTCTTTGGATTAAAGAAAGAAACAAACTGCATTTAAGTGTCACTGTAAGAATTCCATGCCCTTCCTCACTGGCTGCTTGTAAGGGGGACCATTTACAGAGCAGCTTGGCAGGGGCCATGGCTTGCCCTGGCCACGGGAGGGGACAGAACAGGCTGTGGGTGCCCTCCGTGCCCCCGTCACTCATGGGGGATGTGGCAGTGATGGGGGACAGGTGACCTGGTCATGCCACCAGGAGTGCCAGGATGGGGCACAGGTGGCCAAGGAAATGCCAGCAGGGGTGTTGGGACACCAGGGCACACAAGGCCATGGAGACGCCACTGTGGGTATGGTGACACCAAGGGATGTGTGGCCTTGGAGGTGCCACCGCAGGTCCCGGGGTGCTCATGGAGATGCCACCAGGGGACAGGTGGCTGTGGGGTGGCAATGCCAGTGGGTGTGGCAGTGTGACAGTGACGGGCCATGTGCAGGGCCAGGCTGGGGTGGCTCCCTGCCTGCCCTGTGGGTGGCCTCACTGCTACTGAGCTGATTTGGCCGGGTCCCAGTGCTGGTGCTGCAGGGCCTGGCCCGGTGCCACTGTCAGTGCCAGTCCTTTATGATCTTAAAGGTCCCTTCCAACCTAGAAATTCTGTGATTCTGTTATTCTGTGATTCTGTGAACATTGGGACAGGGACACGTGGGGTGGGAAGAGACCCTGGGGATAGGGGAGACTGGGCATCCTAGGGGGCTGTGCCAGGCCAACACCTCCCACCCCACACCCCAAAATTCATCACCCCCCACCCATCATAATCACCCCAAAAGTCATCACCCCCCACAAACCATGACACCCAAACCATCCCCATCACCCCCCCACCCATCATAATCACCCAAAAGTCATCACCCCCCACCCATCACCTCAATATTCCCCCCACTCCTCAGCACCAGTCTCCCAGCCCTGTGCTCCCCTCACCTGCCTCATCCTGTGCCCCCAGCGCTGCCCTGGCTCTGCTGTCACCGTGTCGCCTCCTCCTGTCCTCGGAATGCAGGTACTGCTGCAGGGGTGGCCTCGTCCCCTCGTGTCCCCCTCGGGTCCCCTGTGCCCTTGGGCGCCTTGGAGGGGGCGAAAAACGCCATTTGGAACAGGGACCCACACGCACTGGCCTTGGGGACACCCCTGTCGCCAGCCTGTCGCCGTCGGTGCCAGGGTTGCTGTAGGAGCATTTCCAGCCCTGCAACTCGGGGGTGGCCGGGCGGGGGGGTC